CGTACCAGAGTCCAACATTATATTTCTGAATCTCATATCTGTAAGTTCGTTTCTCTGTAATGTGGTTCAGGTTCCCCTGACTATTAGTTCGGTTTTGGACTATCGTTTTTTTCATGACTGCATGAGAGTTACTCCTACTGATGTTGTGCATCAATTGGCCAGGCACCTCAAGGTGTGCATATGGTTTGCAAACGCTTCCCCAGAATAAAGATTGTGACATCTGAGATTGAAAGTGGTCTCAATGAAGATTTTCGTGTCGTACCCGGAATGGGTGAGTTTGGGGACCGATATTTTGGAACTGATGACGATGATCAACAAGTGGTATCTCCTTCGGTGTAATTCCCATAAAAACTGCTAGTTGGTCCAACCCCTTATCAATTTGGAGTTATTTTCAGCAATGATGGAAAGTCAGCTCAACTTGGCTTGACTAGTGTTGTGCTGGGTTCTACATTTCAGTGTTGAAAAAATTTTGACTTTATCAAATCTAGAACAATCATCCCTTGAATCTTTCATATTTTTCTTTTCAATTATTTGGCATATAGGGTTTTTCTTCTTTCTCAAATGATGTTTCTTGCATTCGATGATACCGTATAAAGGGTTGGATGGCGAGTTGTCATAGCAGGCAGTGAGTGTGTGTGACTAGATAGTCTCTTTGAAACTTGCTTTGCATTTGCATTTACATGGCTTAGAGGGAAGCAATTTACTGGCAAATGAATTGCTTCCCCATGATATGTATTATGAACCAGGACATTTACTCTCATTATGATAATATTTTTTGTTTCACAAATTGGACTGCGTTTCACTTAAATGTTTGCTTCTTTGGCTGCCATGTGCAAGATTCATGTAGTCCATTAGGAAGAACGAAGCCTCAATTTAGAAAAGTTAGTGTATACAATGAGCATATACACACGTCACATAATGTGACGAGCACAGATGTGCATGCACTCGTATCCGAATCTTTGATGAAAAAAATGTAGATTTTGGAATTTCATTGGTGGTAATGTGTTTTCAACAATGGATCTTGGGCAATTGTGAGTCGTTGATGCATGTGAAATCAGATCGATTTTTCGTATATTTCCATTTATGTACTTTCCATTTATGTACTAAAATGAAAAGAAAACAGAAAATTGTAAGGGATGAGGCACGCATATTTGTTTAGTAGAATCCAAAAGTTTCGTTTGGTTCGTCTCTAGGAGTTGAGAGTAATTGGATGAGGAGCATTAGCCCTTCCACACAAATTTTTGCCTGGGGATTGAGTTGCCACTTGGCAGAGAGAGTGATCACTCGTTGAGCTATCCTAGGATGATAGCCTTCCTTGGGCTAACCTTTTGACACGTGTTGTTAATCCATGCCCTGAGGATTCTGCTGGCATATTCCGCCGGAGCTTGTCTATATAGATTGTTTGCTGTGTAAGTTTGATTTTGCACTTTGGTCCACTGTTATCCAATACCATCCTAAATCTCTAACCATGTCAGCCTTTGTTGGCAAATATGCTGGTACTCTCTCTCTCTCTCTCTCTCTCTCTCTCTCTCTCTCTCTCTCACAACATGATTTTCATAATTAAAAGTGTTATTGTTGGATAATGTAAAACTGTCTTTGCATGACCGACTAGCTATTAGTCTAGTGGATACAATGAGTAACGAAAAACACCACTTCCAAAACCCGATTTAGGTCATTTCCCTGGAAAATTTAAGAAAAGCCAATCTCCTTAACAAGAAAAGATTTAGGCATATAATTTATTAGGCAATCATTCTTTAAGTACTTGTAAGAAGTTCGACTAGCTCAACCCTTTGGTTTTGTGCAGAGGAGCTTATAAAGAATGCCAAGTACATTGCCACCCCAGGGAAGGGCATATTGGCAGCAGATGAGAGCACAGGCACCATTGGCAAGCGTCTATCCAGCATCAATGTCGAGAACATCGAGTCCAACCGCCAAGCTCTCCGCGAACTTCTCTTCACCTCCCCCAATGCCCTACCCTACCTCTCAGGTGTCATTCTCTTCGAGGAGACCTTGTACCAGAAGACCACTGATGGCAAACCCTTCGTCGAAGTCCTCCAGGAAAACAATGTCATTCCAGGCATGCTCTAAAATTTCGATAACAGATATAACATTTTTTCGGATATATTCATCTACTTTTTTTCTACATCTATATTTCTATTTGACATCGACATTTGATACTATAGGTATCAAAGTTGACAAGGGTACCGTTGAGTTAGCTGGAACAAATGGAGAAACTACAACTCAGGGCCTTGACTCTCTGGGAGCTAGGTGCGCACAGTACTACAAGGCCGGTGCGCGGTTTGCCAAGTGGCGCGCCGTGCTCAAGATTGGACCCACTGAGCCCTCTGAATTATCTATTCAGCAGAATGCACAGGGGTTGGCTCGTTATGCCATCATCTGCCAGGAGAATGGACTGGTGCCAATTGTTGAGCCAGAGATTTTGACTGATGGGGACCATGACATCAAGAAAAATGCTGCTGTCACTGAAACTGTGCTTGCAGCAGTTTACAAGGCACTCAATGAGCAACATGTTCTTCTTGAAGGCACACTCCTTAAGCCCAACATGGTCACACCAGGCTCTGACAGCCCAAAGGTAATTGGATGTAACTATGCATAGCTCTAAATTATTGCCTCCATATTAACATAATCCATCTCTTTCACAAACAAATTTACAACCGTTGTATATATTTCACATGACTAACATGTAAGAAGTTGAATGTAAAATAGTACAGTGTATCGAATCCACTCAAATTATAACACAAATACAATTGATATTGCAATCGTTACAATTTAGGTGAATCCGTAACACTCTGTTCATATATCATATAGTGTATTAAATGCACACTTATCAATTATATTCATGTTATAATTTGAGTGAATTCATAACACTGTGTTAGTATACCATGAAGTATAGCAAATACACACTATTTTCTCATTGAAGTAAGATAGAGTTGTAACAAAGTTTTTTCCTTCTTATAGAGAACATGTATGTAGGTCTCATCATATAAAATGGTTTTGCCGACATGTTAACAGAGGAAATTTATATATAACCAGCAAATACAACATAATTGTGCTTTAAATTAAATGGCTTCAATTTTGCACAGGTTACACCCGAGGTGATTGCTGAGTACACAGTGACTGCACTGCGCCGGACAGTCCCAGCAGCGGTGCCCGGGATTGTGTTTCTGTCCGGAGGACAGAGTGAGGAGGAGGCAACGCTGAATCTGGATGCAATGAACAAGTTGGATGTGTTGAAGCCATGGACGCTTTCGTTCTCGTTTGGGCGAGCTTTGCAAGCAAGCACACTTAAGACTTGGGGTGGGAAGAAGGAGAATGTTGGGAAAGCTCAGGAGACATTCTTGACAAGGTGCAAGGCTAACTCAGACGCCACTCTTGGAAAGTACGGTGGAGGAAGTGCTGGTGGATTGGCTTCTGAGAGTTTGTTTGTTAAGGGATACAAGTACTAGTTGTTGTACTATACCTTTGACTATATGGGGGTTTGGGGATGGGACTTATATATTAATTGTAAACTTGAATTTAATTTTGTCCAAAAAAAAAAAAACAACTAAAACTTGTAATTTCTCTCTTTTCCAAATGCTCACTCTTGGTAGTTGTTACATATTCTACAATGTTTTATGTTATGAATACTTAACTCAATTGTATTCTCACTCATCTATCGTATGAGGCTTGTAGCTTAAGTGGTTAAGAATATCCACTTATAGAGTTCCTACATATATACATTAGAAGAGAATGCTACATATATACATTAGAAAAGAATGCTACAAATACATGTTAGTATGAGGCTTCGAAGAGAATGCCAAGAGAATGAGTGAATTTCGACCACAACATATACCCGTCAAATTAGCCATTTTATAGTTGTTAGGTTAACTATGTCATCTCAACTAATTAAAAAAACATGAACACAATAGTAGTACAAGGACTGAGATAAATCTAAGTTTTGGATACAAATGTAGTAAATGACATGATCTTGAGTGATTGTGCATACTCTTATGATGCGACAAGTGATTATGCACCAAACTTCCCAGCATAAGAGGCTTACCTATCAAACGTTTATGGTGACATTTTTCATTATAGGAAGCAAAAGAGAATGTGACGGGCTCTGAAAAGGGTCTTCATTTCACTGCTTGTCTAAAAGCATAACGAGAATGAGAATTTTAACCTTACTTCGCTTTTTTGACATGTGTGTGTCTATTAAGATGTTGTTAGAGTATAGGCGATAGTTTAAACTACTGGAGAAAGAGGGTTTCACACACACTACTACGGTGGCATAGGGTTTCAAACTTGAGACCACTAATATGCAAGTCACGTATCAGTTTAATTTTTAAAAGAACGTATTTACTTGTAAGTAGTGGGAATAATAAGAAATGGAATAGGATAGGAAATCAGATCAACTATCTGGTTTTTGGGTATTTGATTAAGCATTTGTGTATTAAATGATTTGTACGTAAATGTAGGAGAAGTCATGAATGAAGACCATTTGCTTTCTTCTTATTCTTATTACTTATAAGTAAACGTGTATGTCGTGTCTGTGTTGTATTGGACTTATTTTTACCAGGCGCAGCTTGTTTGATGCCCTAATAGGATATGGCTTTGTTTACAACACTTTTTGCTGGTACTTATGTGGGCTTAAGGCTCAGAAAACACTGAACACTGGTTTGAATTGTAGAATTCTATAGCGAGGGCCTTAGATGATGTCTTATCGCTTAACCGTTGGATCAAATTGGTTAATTTGATCCAACGGTTAAGAGATAGGGCCTTAGATGAGGCTTTAAATAAGGCACTATAGAATGATTCGGTCTAATTTGATCTAACGATTAAGAAATAGGACCTCATCTAAGAGCTTTAAATAAGGCCTCACTATAGAATGATTCGGTCCGAATTAGAATGAGAGAGAGGGTGGAGTGAAGTCCAGTAAAGAACGGCCCAACTAACAGCCAGACGAAACGGTGCGTTTGGGAGCTCAATTGCCAAACAAAACGGTGAGTTTGAGCCGCTCTTCGTCTATCTCTGAATCTGCCCCCCTGTGTCTCTCTGAATTCTCTTCTTCGACAAGTCTCAAGAGCCAAAAATGTCGTCGTCTTCTTCAATCTCATCGTCGTTTAGATTATTCACAGCCAAACTCCCAAGCTCCATTATAAATCCAAAAGCCCTCTTAGCCTCATGGCCAAAACACCCAAACCTCTCTTTCTTCAAAAGGTCCATCACTTTCCAAAGAATACCAACCATATCCTCATCGAAATCACCATCTGCATCAGCTGCATCTTCGGCTTCAAGCTCGATGTCTCTGCAATCCATTGAAGAGCTCCCACCAAAGCTTCAAGAGATAGTAAAGCTCTTCCAGTCCGTACAGGTATCGAAGGCCAAGTACGAGCAGCTCTTGTTCTACGGCAAGAACCTCAAGCCTTTAGATGACCAATTCAAAACGAAGCAAAACAAGGTCGAGGGTTGTGTCTCTCAGGTCTGGGTCAGGGCCTACCTTGACTCGGACAAGAACGTATATTTCGAGGCCGATTCCGACTCGGTACTCACCAAGGGACTCGCTGCTCTGCTCGTCAATGGCCTCTCTGGTCGCCCAGTCGATGAGGTTTTGCGGGTCTCGCCTGATTTCGCGGTCCTTCTGGGGCTTCAGCAGAGCTTAACGCCTTCGAGGAATAATGGGTTTTTGAATATGTTGAAGTTGATGCAGAAAAAGGCTTATGAATTGCTCGTGGAAGAAGAAAATGGAGTAAGTAGCTCAAATTCGGGGGCAAAAAGTGAAAATAGTGTTAAAAAAGTAGAATTTGGATTGAATTCTGAGATGGGTGGTGAAAATAATTCGACTTTGGGTTCGAAAGTTGATGGTGGTATTGAGGGTTTGGATGTTGGATTAGGTTCTAAAGAAGATATTAAGCAATTGGAACTAGTTGCAAGTGTTACGAATGAAGATGAGTCGAATTCGGGCGATTTGGGGAGCAGAGGGAAGAGAATTAAGGAGAGATTGGAAAGAGGGCTTTGTCCTATTGAATTGGAAGTAGAAGATATCTCTTACCAGCATGCCGGACACGCCGGTGTTAGAGGAAGTGATGGTGAGACACATTTCAATGTGAAAGTTGTGTCTAAAGAGTTTGAAGGGAAGAGTTTAGTTAAGAGGCATAGGCTCATTTATGGTTTGTTGCAAGAAGAGTTGCAGAGTGGACTACATGCATTGTCGATAGTGGCCAAAACACCATCTGAATTGAGTGGAAAGTGAAGGAGCTGCTCTGAGTTCCTCATGAAAAGAGGTTCATATTCTTGATTTTTTTCCTCATATCTTGTTTCAATGATCGTTAAATGAGGTTGTTGCTCAGAAGTGTTGTACACATAGTGCTCATAAGTTTTGCTAGAATGTGAACACATTATGTCTTTAATCTTTATAATGATAATTGAATTACATATTGGTAAATTTTGTGCTGAACTAGCCATACATTAGTTGTTGTTGATGTTTTTTTAACATGGATTAAATAAGACACTGAACTTACTTTGAAAGCAAAGATTGGGTGAAACTCTTAGGGCCTGTTTGATAACCATTTCAATTTTAGTTTTGAGTTTTCATTTTTTGTGCTAGAGTATAGAAGAAAAAGAGGGAGAATGGAAGTGAGAATGAGAGGGAAGATGAGAGGGGAGGAGGGAGGAAGGAGTAACAAAAGTGAAAACAAAAACTAAAAACTGAAATCTATTTGAAATTGTTTTCACTTTCAAGTTTTTGTTTTCACTTTTGTTACTCTTCTCTCCCATCCTCTCCTCTCATCCTCTCTCTCAATCTCATCCTCACTCCCATTCTCACTCTCATTTTCCTCTATACTCTGCTATAAAAATGAAAACTAAAAACTAAAAACTAAATTTGAAATGGTTATCAAATGGGCCCTTAGTTATTGTGGTTGCACTTGGGTACCTAATGATTTAGTACTTAGGGGAGTGAAGATTGTAATGGTAATTGCTACATTGCAGACTGAATATCTTTGTGGGGTCTTTGACTGCTAGCTCTCTGCTTTAACCAAGTTTATGATCAAATAAATTGGTCCGAACTTCCACATAAGGCAGTTTAGATATGCATAGTTGTCTGGTGGAAATTCTAGTACAAATTATAGAGATTGGGCTAGTTCTCATCTGTTGGCTACTCTCCAGCTACCAGCTGTCCAATACGTAACATAATTAATTACATTGCTATTGAACATCTGACTGTGACCTTGTGGTGTTTCTTTAATTTAAAATTGGTCTCTTTCAGATTTTTCAGAATATCAAAATTGTTGATGGATCTAAAAGTGATATTATATTGGTGATTTCTGATTAGGACACTGTGGACATAGGGACTATCCAGAAATGTACCCCCTACAAATACAATCCTGGAGCTGGATTCCCTTGTTATCTTGGTTCATTCTCTAGATTTCTCTAAGAACTTTGGACCTATCAATGCTTTTTATATGAATTCTTTTGATTAAGTAAATAAATTAAAGTGGTAGTGCCATGCCGGAACACCATATGGGGATAATGTTAAGTTTTTAAATAAGGGAAAAATTAGGTGGAAATCACTGCAGGATCCTAATTGAATCTCCATACATCCTTTGCTAACCTTTTCCACAAGCAGAACTGTAGTGCTTCCTATCCCTCGAATAGAGTTCCTATTCAGTGGACACAACCGTGACTTCCCCCCTTCTCTTCCTTCTGTAGAAGAGCTTATCTTGTGCCCTCTGATCTTTAACCCCATGTCTTTTCTATACAGTTTTTTTCAATGATGATGAGTTGTCCTTCTATTGGTTTTGTTACTTTATGAACTTGTAATACAATAAACCGAAAATCTGAATTAAAAAGAAAAAGAAAAACTATTTCTTCAGATTGTAGGAAAGAATGCTCATGTATCATGTTATATAGCTCATATGACTTTTATACACCAAAAATTGCATTTAGGTTTCCATGTAGATACAATAAGAAGATAGAAAGAAGGTACAAGGAATAATGCTCCTCATCTTCATCTTTTAGTTTTGCAACTCCGCGCAACTAAAACACCAGTTGGTGGCCCTGTCATCTGTAATTGGCATCTGCTATGCAACCAGTAAGAAAAATGGATCATTCCTAGAGTGGCTCTCACTTTAAATGTTCCTCTTATATTATAGTTGACCCTATTGTTCTGCACCTGTGTTCGAAGAGCCACAGCGTGATTCTCAGGCAAGTAAACCAAGCTTGATATTAAGCGAACTGATCCCAACCTTCCTTCTCCAGGTCTTTGAGTGAAAGGTCCAAGAGATTGAGTTGCTATGAGCCTGTCAGAAAAGTAAAGCTCCAGATCCAGATACTCAAATCTTATATCGATTTTCCGATTTGGGTTGGAGAAATTTGCCAGGAAAGTGAAGTCACCATTGAAATACTCTGGTGAGTCAAAGTAGATGGTGTTGAGGCTTGCATTGGGGATGTCAAACAATGGAGTTCTTGGTTTAACAACTAGGAAGATGATCAAAGTTGCAATTCCAAAGATGATAAGAATAAGGCTGAATATGAGACACACAATTGCACAACACCATATAAGCGGGTTGGTCGGTTGAGGTTGCCGGAGTATTGGTTGCTTTGTTGATTTACTGGAGACCTGATCTATTGCATCAGGTGCTGGAACTTCTCGATTTGTAGCAAGCTTTGATATGATAATTTGGTTGAGAGAGACTGGTGTGGTTTGCCGTGGGGCTTGGGGTGGGTGTCGGATATGCCTCTGCGCTGGGGGTTGAGGTAGAGGTGAAGGTGGAATTGGAGATGGAGGTGGGAGAGGTGACATATCTGGAGAATGAATAACCAGGAGCAAAAACAGCTGAACCAAGTAATGAAGGGGGAAGAGGAAGATAATTGTTGCTTTAAATAAATGAAGAAATTGATTAAAGCAAGTAAAGGAAAAGAAGCTTTTGATTGAGAGGGATAGTGGGACCAATTTGTTTGTCATTGGTATTTGCAAAAGAGGGTTGTAGGTGGAGCTAAAGGTGTGTAACTTAGATGTTTGAATGGTTTTGCTTTTGAAATTGCAGCACTGTTTGAGAAAGTCCTAAACAGAAGTGGCACTGCCCTGCCCTGCCCTGCAAAGTGATTGTGTTTCTTTACTTGTTTATAAGCACTTTTGATTGGTTAGACTAGTCAAAGTAGTGAATGGTAGATATTAAGATCAAAAGAACCAATGGAATTGGAGCCTATGCTGTGAAAATGTTACAATGCTGCTTGTTTTATCTTATAAAAACTTTTTATGTGTTTGATGTTTAGCCCCTAAGGAAGTATCTGGCGGAAAGTTAGGCCACACTATAAAGATAGTGCAGAAATATTAGACAAAAGTTTGAAAAGTTATCTGTTCATGTGTAATCAATTAACTATAAATCATATCAGAACATTGAACAGTTGGGGTTTATTTGTTTTTTTTCCTTCTTTTTCAAACATTAAAAATATTATTATGTGGTGGGTGGGATGCATAATTTGCATGCTAAAAATAATGTACCCTCAAGTACTCAAAACAATTGCTGCAGAAGATCCCCAAATATCCTTGATCCATATATCCCCCTAAAGCTTGCCCAGCTGCCTGCCAAGCCAACCAATATTATGCTTTAGGTTGGGTGGACACCATTCACGTTGGGACCAAGTCCTAGAATAAATTGTTTAAAACCAAATTGACAAATACAATGATGGTAAAACAAAATGGCACAATCACGGGTTGGTTAACCTAAAATTGTTTGAAACCCAAATTGGCAATTTACACAATGGGTCACAAAATAATACTAGGTTTTGTTGGTGGAATTGAGGAACCCAAAATAGTCCAAGCATGAGGTGGTCTAGAACAACACGTGTAGCCCATTAATTTCTGGGCAGCAGGCATCGAGTAGCCTATTAATTTGTAGGAAGGACTGATTTCTCAACATGTTATGTTGTCGGATTCTAAATTATTAAGAACGTATATTTAAACATGATTCCACCTAATTAACGGACCAATAGATAATTGACAACTTGCTCATCTGTTTCGTAAGAGAATTTTATTTTCTCAATTTTTTTGTTCTCCTGAATTAGAATCCATGACTGGTATTGTGACTCTTTCTTGCATGCTTGATGCAGTGCATAATGGGATAAGTTCAAAAGACTTTTCAAATTTCAAGAAGGTTTATGATTCATTTACACATGTGGTTCATGCAATTGAAAGCCTTGGTCAGATTCATGTAGTGGGAGTATAATTAGGTGGGTTTATGGAAGAATGAGGCAAACTTTGATTACGTTGATATTGATAATGACAACACAGAGCTGGGCTCTTTGTTTTTAGTCTCATTTTCTAGTTGTGCTTCTTGATGTTTCTTGTATAATCTCTAGTCACAAGTTTCCCCGCATCATTTGGTATCATAGCTTTACTAAGCTCTTGGGTGGCTTCCGATCTATCGTGCCAATGGCTGCAAGAAGAGATGGGGGAAAAGCTAATACCGTTTGAGAATTTAAAAGGTGAGAGAGATGAAGAACTTCAAGCACTTCGTAGACAAATTGAGAAACTTGCCTTGCAAATTGAACACCATGAAGCTCTTATGAAGCATCGTGCATCAAAACGCAGGTATTCACATCATGAGGACAATTTGAAACTGTGTACGTTGCAGAGGTGCAAGAGTCATTTATGGAACATTAGGACACCAATATTTCATAATTGGCTTGAAGTGGCTTGTACTGACGCTTATGTGTTCAAGGACACCGAAGAATCAAATTTTAAGGTGGAAAAGCCAATTGAGAACAAAGAAAATCCAGATTTGGAGGTAAACCAATATTTGTCGCCTTTTATATTTAAAAGTGACCTTGATAATAATAATGAAGTTGGTTGTGACTGGACTTCACCTCCTATACATGATCAATATTCTTGTGATGGTGAAGACATGGATTCCATGGAAGAGGGCCTTGAACTTATTTTCCACAATTTAGTTTATTCATCGGCAAGGTTGAGAAGGTTGTGCAATGTGACGTACAATGGTGCTTACTTAGAAAAAAGGTATCATCGGTACTCATAATACATGTGGAAAATTTGCATCTTTCCAAACAGATAATTATCCTTATTATGGTCCAAAGTTTGACAAAGAGCCATTGGAGGATAAAAGTGAAAATTAGTTCTAACGCCAACATGTATTGGTAGAATAAATGGAGGCTTTCCCTCAACATAAATATGATTGGCTTGATCAAGGTAACAAATGTATTGAAATCCAATTTCATGATTGGATTTGGGATAAGTTTAGTGTGATTGGCAACATTGGGTTGAAAATATGAAGGTATTGGTTGTCTTGGGAATTGGTGAAACTTATGGTGGATTAAAGAATTCAATTCAATTTTGGGAAAGGTCAAGCCAACTTGTTTACCATGCTAAGATGTTATTTGTTAGAGCATCCATGACGGGCTCCTTAGAGCATCCACAATGATGCTCTCTATTTCTTAGCTAAAATTTAGCTAAAAATATAAGAAAGCTATTTTAGGAGCTCTCAAAAAAATTTACTCCAACCATACTCCCTAATTTGGAGAGTCATAAATGCTATTACTCTTTTTTGATTGGTCCATCTCTATTAAAAAATAAAATAAAAAATAGTTAGCATTAAATAAAGGTTTGAAATACTCATTAAATAAAGCAGCATTAAATTATAGAGAGTCACTAGGAGTCCTTTCTCTCTCCTCAGATTTAGGAGATCCTAGAGAACTCCCTATTTTAGGAGATTGATAGGGAGCATGGTTGGAGTTGCATTTTTATAATTCCTCCCTAAAATTTGTCTAAGGAGGTGGTTTAGGGAGCCCATTGTGGATGCTCTTAAACCATCTCTTTAGACAAATTTCAAGAAGGAATTGGAAAAATACAACTCCAACCATGCTCCCTATCCACCTCCTAAAATAGGGAGACCTCTAGAAGCTCCTAAATTTGAGGAGAGAGAAAGGACTCATATTGGCTCCCTATAATTTAATGTTGTTTTATTTAATGAGTATTTCAAACATTTAATTAATGTTTATTATTTTTTAATAGAGATTGACCAATTAAAAAAGCATTTATGACTCTCTAAACTAGAGAGCATGATTGAAGTTTAAATTCTATAAAGAGCTCCTAAAATAACTTTTATATGTTTTTAGCTAAAATTTAACTAAAAAATAGAGAGCATGATTGTGGATGCTCTTAACTTGACAAAGAAAGACAAAAGATGGCATGGCGACATTATGAGTTTTTGGATTTGAACTTCTACTGAGTAGAGATGCCTTATTCAGTTTACATATGATGTCGATAGGCCATCTGAACCTAGCACCACCAGAGTATACATTCACGGTGCATTAATGTACTGACTCCATAACCGAGATGAACTTATCATAGAGAGAGCAAAAGACAAGCTAACCAATTTGATCTAACGGTTAAGAAATAGAGCCCCATCTAAAGGCCATACATAAGACCCTCACTATAAAATTCTTGTTCGAAGCAATTAAAAGTTGGCTTAAATGTTAAAACGGTCCCTGTGTTTTGTACATTTGGCAAATTTAATCCCTGTGTTTTCAATTTGGCCAATTTAGTCCCCGTGTTTTACTCTGTTAGCCAATGTTGTCCATTATGTTAAATTACCGTTAAAAAAAATTCATTAAAGTTTAAAATTTAATAAAATTTTTTTGTTAAGTTAAGTTTATAATATTAATAAAAATAAAAAAAATAAAAAAATAAAAAAGAAATTATGGAAACCCAACAGACTATGTGTACTTCTTCTCTCATGCTTCTACTGCCACCCAACCCAACACCACAAACATCAGTTGTCTGCCAATACTGATGTTGAATCTTTATTTCACTCATATTTTGTGGGGGTGGGTGGGATAGAAAAAGGGAGAGAGAAAGAGAGAGGAAAGAGAGATGGAGGAGTTATGGGGTGGGTGGGTGGAATGGATCGGGGAAGGAAGGGAGGGCTCGGACCAGATTTCTTTATCCCTCCAAGGGTTTTTTGGGACTGCTCATGGTGGTTGTGGTGTGGATTGGGTGGTGGTGGCATGAGAGAAGAACATAGAGGCTGTCAAGTTTCCAAATTTTAAAGATTTTTTTAAAATTCATATTTGTTTTCTTTGTAAATAGAACTTTTAAAAATTTTAAATGAATTTTTTTAACGGTTGTTTGTACAATATCTGGCCAAGCACTCCCAAACACTTCTAAGCCAAAGGGAAGGGAGTCCCACATCGACAAAACACAAGAGGAGGGGACTCTTCCTCACTTATAAAAGAAGACCCCTCTCCTTCAAGAAGAGGGGGGGAGAAAGAAAAGAGGGGATGAGAAAGAAAAGAGGAGTTAGGCAGGCTACTGGGGCCCCATGGGTTTACCCATGAGCCCATTTACAAGCCCACGGATCATTGGCCTTCAGCCAGATCCTTAGCCTTCAGCCTTCAGCCTCCAGCCTTCCTACCTTCAGCCTTCGGCATTCTTCTTCTTCCCCTTGGGTCTAACCCTATGTGCAATGTATACACACATTATCGTAATGAGAACATACTTCTTCGTGGACGTAGCCCATTATTCGGGTGAACCACGTACATTTGTCTTCTGTATGCATGTCCATTTATTTACCGAATGCTCTTACATACTGAGGGTCCTCACCTTCAACATCCACCTCATCTTTAAGTTGGCCTACTCACTACCCGTCTAGTTTTAGTGCCACCAACGGTAATTTAACGAAATGGACAACATTGGTTAACAAAGTAAAACACAAGGACTAAATTAGTCAAATTGAAAACACAGGGACTAAATTTGCCAATTAAGTAAACCACAAGGACCATTTTAACATTTAAGCCTTAAAAGTACTTAATAAAAGAACAAGTATGGGTTGGTGCTAGGCCCAAAATTGTTTAAAACCCACATTGTCAAAAACAAATACGGTTTTGTGGGTCGAATTGAATAACCCAGAATAGCAGAAGCATGAGTAGCCCATTAATTTCTGGCTACCGGCATTCATGTGAAATGGCTTTAATAGAAATATGATATCGAACATGTTATTATGAGCATGGAATTTTAGATTAAGAAGGTATTTAAACATGACTCAAACCTAATTAGAGAAAACGACAAGCAGAGGTGGTGGTCCTTAATAATTTGGCGCTGCTGAGTGCATAGTCTATGTCCAATCAACAATCAACAATCAACAATCAACATGGAATAATAATAATTATTATTATTTTGTATTTTGTCATAACCCGTGACAATTGATTTAGGGTCAAATATTGTTGAATTGAGAATCTGTACTAGCTTCACACTATATGAACTTGTTAATGGGTATATTTTGACCATGAACCATATAACGGTAGCTTTCATACAATCCCTAATAGGTAGACTACTCCATTTTTATAATAAAATTGTGTACTAGCTTC